TTTTTGTATTTTTAGTAGAGATGGGGTTTCACCATGTTGGCCAGGCTGGTCTCGAACTCCTGACCTCAGGTGATCTACCTGCCTCGGCTTCCCAAAGTGCTGGGATTATAGGCGTGAGCCACCGCGCCCAGCCCCAAAGCCTTTTTTAAAAAAAGTGCTCCTATAATGTTTAGTACGTGCCAGGCATTGTACTAGGTACTTTCCATACGTTAACTCATTTAATCCCCCAATAATGCTATGTGGTTATTTCACTGTCCCCACTTTCCAGATGAGGAAACTGAGGCACAGAAAGGCTAAGTAGCATACCCAGCCACATACTGAGCTGACATTCAAGTCCAGGCAGTTTGGTGTTGGGGTCCACATGCGGCTCACATTTTCCAAATTCTGCAGCTGCTGCTTCTGGAGCGTTTGTCATGTTAGGAGCGGGACAGGATGGAGTCAGAGAGAGAGGGAGGAATCTAGGGCCACAGTGTCTGGGACCCAGCACCGGGAGGGCAGAGAGAGGCACATTCCCACAGTTGTGTCCAAGGCTGACTCAGGAAGGCAGGTGACCAGTCAACTGTGGGAGTGAGGAAGAGCTCAGAGGACAGTTGGCTGAGATCTCTATGCTAAGGTGCCTGGGTGGTGCCTTTCACTGGGACCTGCCGAGGGCTGGGGAAACAGGCTTGGAAGAGGTGGGCAGGGAGGGAAGTGACAATCACCATTTCTGATGAGGCAATAAGAGTGACGTGGGGTGGGCCTGGCCCACACTGCTGGCTCTGCCACTCACCAACTGTGACTTCAGAGATGTTACTTAACCTCTCTGGGCAGGTTACAGCAACTATAAAATGAGAGGGAAGGTTGGGCACGGTGGCTCATGCCTGTAATCCCAGCATTTTGGGAGGCTGGGGTGGGAGGATTACTTGAGGCCAGGAGTTTAAGACCAGCCTGGGCAACTAGTGATACTCCATCTCTTAAAAAAATAAAATAAGGGGAAAATAACAGTTCCTTTCTCATGGCTTTGTTGCCAGGGTTAAAGCAATTTTAACGTGCAGAGTGCTGAGAATAGTGCCTGACACATACAGGGATGAGAAAGGCCCAGTAAATGTTGGCATAATTATTGAATTTGCATTCCTTGTCAAATGTGGGTTTTTGTTTTTGTTGCTGTTTTTTAAGAGTCTCCCTCTGTCGCCCAGGCGGGAGTGCAGTGGCACAATCTCGGCTCACTGCGACCTCCGCCTTCCGGTTCAATTCTTGTGCCTTGGTCACCTGAGGAGGTGGGATTACAGGCACACGCCACCACACCTGGCTAATTTTTGCATATGTAGTAGAGATGGGGTTTTGCCTTGTTGTCCAGGCTGGTCTCGAACCCCTTGCCTCAAGTGATCTGCCCACTTCGGCCTCCCAAAGTGCTAGGATTACATGCATGAGCCACTGGGCCTGGCCTAAAATGTGGGTTATAAAACTATTATAAAAATAGTAGTTGGGCTGGGCACGGAGGCTCACTCCTGTAATCCCAGCACTTTTGAGGCCGAGACAGGTGGATCACGAGGTCAGGAGATCGAGACCATCCTGGCTAACACAGTGAAATCCCGTCTCTACTAAAAATACAAAAAATTAGCCGGGCATGGTGGTGGGTGCCTGTAGTCCCAGCTACTTGGGCAGCTGAGGCAGGAGAATGGCATAAACCCGGGAGGTGGAGCTTGCAGTGAGCCGAGATCGCACCACTGCACTCCAGCCTGGGTGACAGAGTGAGACTCCGTCCCCCAAAAATAAAAATAAAAATAAAAATAAAATAGTTATAACTATTATTTATTGAGCCTAGTAGTAGGGTCAGTTACTCATGCATATTAATTCACTTAATGTTCAAAGTAACGCTGTAGGGCAGGTACTATTCTCTCCCCTATTTTACAGAGGAGAGAAACTGAGGCATGGCAAGGTTAAGAAATTTGTTCAAGATCACACAGCTTGTAAGATGGAGCCAGGATTTGAGTCCAGGTGGTCTAACCCCAGACCCCACGCCTTGACCCCTTCACTACACTGACCCCCACCCCTGGCCACGGCCACAAGGCAGAAGTTATGTGGCCGATAGTTGGGGGTTTTACTGGCCCATCAGCCATCTATTTTCCCTGTTTCTGCTAACAGTTCTTCAGCTTCCCTTGGGGGACCACCTGTCCCTCATCCTCAGCCCATATGACCCAAATGGGGCTTCCTTTGGAGGGCTCCATGTTGACAACAGGCCAGCTATACCAAGCCCAGCCCAGCTACCCACGAGGTGGCCAGCACAGCTTTTGGGGCTGGGCTGTGTGTGGAACACAGGCCCTTGAACACCGGGATCCCATTCGATGGGGAGGGAGTTGACAGTAGGTTCACTTTCCTGCCCCACTCTCGCTCCCGGGCATGTTCTCATTGAGCAGATGGGCCATGCATTTGAAGTTGCAGTATTGCAGCTCGCTTTCAGCTGAGTGGGTGAGATGAATGTGCTCGTGGAGGTTACGGTAGTCTGTTTGGTATCCCTAGCCTTATGGCAGGTGTGGTTGGCGGGTGTGCCCTGAGCAAAGGACCCTGGCCAAGAGAGTGAGATTGAAACACAGACTGCGACCAGCTAGCCATGGGGTGGCCCTCAAGGAAGAGGGGGGTGCCATCAGTCAAATCTTCCACCTATGGGGACCACCTTTTGCTAATCTGTACAATGGAACGTATGTGCTGCTCTGCCCTGCTTAATGGCCTTGAATTATTTGACATTGTGTGCAAGAACCCCGCCCATGTATGCCTGTGCATTTATTTTTTTCTTTTTGAGACAGAGTCTCACTCTGCCGCCCAGGCTGAAGTGCAGTGGTGCGATCTCTGCTCACTACAACCTCCGCCAATGGGGTTCAAGTAATTCTCCTGCCTCAGCCTCCCAAGTAGCTGGGATTATAGATGTGCATCACCACTCCAGGTTAATTTTTGTATTTTTAGTAGAGACGGGTTTCGCCATGTTGGCCAGGCTGGTCTCGAACTCCTGACCTCAGGTGATCCACCCGCCTTGGCCTCCCAAAGTGCTGGGCTTATAGGCGTGAGCCACATGTCCGGCTGCACCTGTGCATTTTGTGGGGACAGAGGCCCCAGAGCTTTCTGAAGATTCTCAGTAGAGATTCTGGAAGGTTCTGAGTTCAGAGAGCAACCACAGTCCCTGGGAGGTGAGCCTGGAAGCCTGTCACATGTCCATAGCATTAAGATTCAGCTAAAAGCTCCTTTCCACAGGGGCCTGAAGTGTGAGCATTGGAGGCCCCAGGTCAAGAAGGATACCACTGAATCCCAGAAACAGGACTGGTGGAAACCCGGGGTGGGGCCAAGGTGGGTGTGGCATACCCCACACCTGGAGGCTGGGTCAAGAGGCCCACAAGGAGCTCTGAGGCCTCAGCAGTGCTCCTGCCCATGCTCAGGCCTCCTTCCCACGTGCTTCTGCCAGCTGAGCTCTCTGGAGGCTGTTAGGAGGGGATAGAATGAAGATGCCCACTTTCTGCTTGTCCTAGAGACTGGGACAACACCTGATGTTCAGGCCCAGGGGTGGTTTACCAGGAGCTGGGAGGCTGAGGAGGTGGGAATCTGTGGGTCAATTGCAAGAAGACCTAGACCTCCGGTTACCATTATCCTCATTCCGCCAGTCTCTCACATTAAAAGTCATTAGGGAAAAATAATATTTACAGGAAATACTTATATAACCTTGGTTTTTTTTTTTTTTTTTTTTTTTTTGAGACAGTGTCTCATTCTGTCACCCAGACTGGAGTGCAGCGGCGTGATCATAGCTCACTGTAGCCTCGACCTCCTGGACTCAAGGATCCTCCCTCCTCAGCCTCCTGAGTAGTTGGGATTACAGGTGAGCACCACCACATCTGGCTGGTTTTTGATTTTTTGTAGAGATGAGGTCTCGCTATGTTGCCCAGGCTGTTCTTGAACTCTTGGCCTCAAGCGATCTTCCTACCTTAGCCTCCCAAAGTGCTGGGATTCCAGGCATGAGCCATCACACCCGGCCTCATAGCTTTGTTCTAGGTGCTGCCATGAACCTACTCATTTACTCTTCTCAATGACTCTATGAAGAAGCTACGATTATTGTTCCTGCTTCAGAGATGAGAAAACTGAGGGCAATAGATGCCTGGGTGCCCACCCTGATCCCCTCACTGGGCTGGTGCACCTACCCCCAGCTGCTAGGAGTGAGGTCTGGGAGGTTAGGAGACCCCACGCCAACCTCTTGGAAATGACCCACAGCCCAAGCTGGTCTCATGTCACTGTAACACACATCCATCCTAGCCCCGAACCCCATATACATAGATTCACACAAGTGGCCGCAACATTTATGCTCATGTGGACACACACACTCACACACACACACACACACACACACACAGCCAGTTACCAACTCACTGGACATGCAGGAAGGCCGGTCCCCTCCTTCAAGGGAGGATGACTCTATGGTTCCATTTATGCTCCAGATCCTCCTACAGATCAAGCTGAGCCTAGACTTGACCTGAGACCACATCCTTGCTTAACTTTCTCCTCCCTCCTTTGAAAATTTAATTTATTTTACTTTTTTCTAGAGGCGGGGGTCTCACTATATTACCCACGCTGGTCTTGAACTCCTGGTCTCAAGTGATCCTCCTGTCTCCGCCTCACAAAGTGTTGGGATTACAGGTGTAAGCCACCCACTCACCACGCCCAGCTTTTCCTTTTTCTTTTTCTTTTTCTATTTTCTCCTTTTCCTACATGTTCCAAATCCTCCTTCCTTATCCCACTTTCCCTGCAGACATTTCCTAACACAATCCTCTCAATGCTTCCAGAGCAATTCAGTGCATCCCTGCCTCAGGATCTGCCTTCAGGAAACCGGACCTAAAAGACACCGAGGCACGGAAAACTGTGCTGCAGCCAGCCAGTAAGTGACCAGGCAGGATTTGAACGCTGGCAGGCCGTACTCCCAACCGTAACACGCCACTGCCTTTCGGAGCAGGGGCCTGGCCAGGTGGGCTTGGGGTGGCTCTCACCGGTAGTTGCAGGGCTCAGCTCCAAACAGGCAGGCCAGGATCATCTGCTCGCCGGGGTAGCTCATCTCCACCAGCTCCTGCTGCGGCACCTGTGCAAAGATGTTGGTGGCCTGCAGGCTGTACCACTCTGTCACTGCCTGGGTAGCGCTGGTGAAGTTCCGGAAGGTGCACTGGGTCCCGTTGAGGCTACACTGTGGAGGCCAAGAGGGTTTTTTGTGGGTGGTGTGGGAGCTGCTAGCAGGACCCCAGCCACTGCTTGAGGGCCCTAGCAGGGCAAGAGCTGTGCTTTGCCAGCCGTCCTTCTGGCTGCAGCTTGGTGGTGGGAAACGTGTTCATACTCATGCTCACACATACTCAAGGGCTGCCGCCTCATACACAGCTGCGTGCCAATCACAAGATCCCCTCATCAGGCTGGTGCACCCACCCCCGGCTGCTGGGAGTGAGGCCTGGGAGGCTAGGAGACCCCTCAGCAACCTCTTGGGAGTAACCCACAGTCAGTGACCAACTCATGGGCATGCACAGAGGCTGGTCCCCTCCTTCAAGGTAGGGTGACTCAGTGACTCAGTTTACAGCCACCAGCCTCACCTCACTCATACCATTATGCATGAGCAAAAACACACACGTGGTCATGTGTGCAGAGGCATGCACGGAAGACGCCCTCTCTCTGACCTCCACAGCCTCATGTCACTGTAACACACGTCCCTCCTAGCCCCGAACCCCATATACACAGATTCACACAAGTGGCTGCAACACTTATGCTCATGTGGACACACACACACACAGTTCTGATTCCTTTTCTAGCCTCTGCCACAGACTTTCAGATGCAGCTCCCCTGGAGGCCATGAAGACCAAGAAGAAACTCAACACACAGGAAACGCTGCCTCTCATCTGTCCTGGGAAAGACACAGATCCAGTCACCCTGAGTCCAACATGGGGTGCAGAGCACCCTTCCACCCGGTCACAGCCGGCTTCTCATGACATCCAAGTCGTCGCACAGGCACGGGACAGACTTGGCCCTCAGACTCTGGCCTTGGCCACGAGGCTGCTGCTGGTTCTCCCTGCTGGAACCTGGGAGGCCGGATAGAGAAGCTTCCCCCGGCATTCCTATACCACCCTTCCCAACACGCCCGGCCAGCCCACTCCTGGGGGCCTCCCTGCCTCCCCTTGGGGAGGTAATGGCAGCCCTTAATCCTCACTCTGTTCTGGGCTCTGTTCCCAGTGTCTTACATCTATAACCCCATTGAAGCTTCGCAGCAATGCCAGGAGGTAAGTATCATTGTTATCCCCATCATCATGAAGAAATTGAGGCCCAGGAGGTTAAGGAAGGTGTGACCACAGCAGATCCCCCATGTGACGTTGGCTAGTTTGTGTGGAGAGGTGGGGACAAAGCAGTTGTGGAAGTCATAATGTCATGAGTGTGAACAGCAAGGCAGTGGCTCCCCCTCTGGGGAGTGTATGGTCCCCTCCTGGATCCCCATTCAAGACTGATCATCAGAATCACCAGGGAGCCTGTTGTCAATACAGATTCCTGGGCCTGGGCCCAGAACTGCTCACTCAGATTCTCCAGGAGTGGGGCCTAGGGATGTGCATTGTGACAGAGCTCCCGTGGGATCCTGAGACACAGACAGGAGACCTTCTTCCCACTTCTAGGCTTAAGAACTAATGGCATCCCAGCCCCCCAGTGCAGGGCAGTTGTTTCTTGGCATCTGACTGTACTACACAGCTGTAGCTTTTCACCTGCCCAATATTTATGCGCCTATCTTTTGATAACAAGACTTGGTTCCTCCCTCAGGGAACCACCCTCCCCCTCGCTCAGTCCATGTGGTCTCACAGAGGCTGACATCACTCCCAACTCCAGGGCACATGGCCCAGGACTGGCCAATCATGAGAGCCCCTGCTGTAGCCCACAGTGATTGGTTTAGGGGTGAGCATGTGACCTAATGAGTCTTCTCAGGACCTTTGCTGGGACGATAGGGAAAGAGCTCTTTTTCTGGGACGACTGCTAAGCAAGGGCACTGAAGGGACCCTCCACATGGAGAGATCTTGCCCAAGATTGAAGTTGCCTGAGAGAAAAGTGGAACCAAGATGGAGAAAGATTCTTGATGACCTCATTAGAATACCTGGATCCAGCCTTGCCTGAATGCAGTATACCTCTGGACTTCTTAGTTATGTGAGCCAATGAATTGCCTGTTTTGCTTAAGCTAGTGTGAACTGGATCACTTATACCAAAAGAGTCTTGACTAACATGCCAACAATTTCTATTTTTAAAAAATCTCTGCTAACAAGCAAAACAGGCTCTGGCTTCCATCTTATCTTTCCCCTAGCAAGACTCAAATTATTACAGAAAAGAAACACCCACCAGCCTCAGTGGGTGGGGCCCATTGCTTGACATGTGCCTAGGGACCACTTACTAGTCTCATGGCCATTTTGCACCCATGGGCATTACAGATCTTTTCTGATGCTGAGCTGTTTGTTAAGCCATTGTGGTTATCTCCAAAGAGATCGAGGACCATGGGGTGGTAGGGGTTCCGTTCATCAATAAGGACCAGGGGTGTGTGGTTCCAGATGGAAGAGTTCAGGGTCCTGGTGGCATTGGCATGGCTTAGCTCAGGAGCCAGGATTCTCTCCAGGACAGCTTCCATCAGCTCATCCAGGTCCTTCAGCAAATGCTTGACTTTGGAATACCTGGATGGGGAGAGGGCTGGTTAGCGGGAGGAATGAACATCTGTAAAGCAGAGCAACTGAAATCTGGGACCCACTCTGTAGCAGTCTGTTTTCACACTGCTATAAAGATACTACCTGAGACTGGGTAATTTATAAACAGAAGAGGTGTAATTGACTCACAGTTCCGCATGGCTGGAGAGAGGTCTCAGGAAACTTACAATCATGGCAGAAGGTGAAGGGGAAGCGAGGCACGGCTTACACGGCAGCAGGAGGGGGAGAGGGAGGGAGAGAGAGAGAGCATGCAGGGAGGGAGAGAGAGAGAGCATGCACAGGGGAGACTGACACTTTAAAACCGTCAGATTTTGTGAGAACTCACTCACTATCACGAGGACAGCATGGGGAAGCCACCTCTATGATCTAATCACCCACACCAGGTCCCTCCCTCAACACATGGGGGTTACAATTCGATATGAGATTTGGGTGGAGACACTGAGCCAAACCATATCACGCTGTTACTCCAGCATGGCTGCCACTATGTATAAGAACACCACCCCACCTAAACACCTACCTCTCCATCTACCCACCCACGCATCCATGTGTCCTTCCACCACCCATGCACTCATTCATTCACCAACTTTTAATGAGCACCTACTATGTGCCAGGCACTGTGCAAGGCACAGACGGTATAGCAGCAAACAAGAGGGACCTGGTCTCTTTCCTTATGAAATTCATATTCAAGTGAGGAAGAATTGTAATGGCTCATGGTTATTGCTAGCTTACCCTGTGCCAGGTGCTAGATGCTTTCCAGGTCTTATTTACTATTTGCCACAAGTCTGTTACCGTCCCCATATATAGATCAGGAAACTGAGGCTCCAGGAATTGGTGTGATTTTGCAAGCTCACTCCACTGATAAAGGGCAGAGCTGAACTTAGAATCCGGGGTTGCTGGGCTCCAGCGGGTATGTTTACGGGGGTTCTGAGATCTCCCTCCCAGGAGGGAGCAACTTTGGGAACAGGAGCCAGTTTCAGGAGAGAGAAAATGGATGGGACTGTGAGATTGGCTCCAATGTCTTCCCTCAGCCCTCTGGAGCTCCCATGTTGACATGGTGGCCAGTGAGAGATGGATCTATCAAGGAGTATCTCTGCCAGGCCCCGTGGGGGCCCGGGCCCTGCACCCCAGTCACTTCATATCCAATTTACCCAAGACCCTGCCTCAGAGTGGGTCATTGAGGCCACAAGTGCCAACTCTGGCTGGAGGACTTCCTACAGGAGCATTAAGTGCTGGACAGAGGCCAAGGTCCTGGTACAAAGGTATACAGCAGCTGGAGCTAACATTGGCCTTCTATGCCAGTTCCCTGACCATTAAATCTGTGTACACAGGAAGAGGAGGATCGGGAAGGGTGGCGTCTGTGCAGGCGGCGGTGTTATTACAGCCCAGATGTCCACAGCTGCTGGGAAGCTTGGTGGGTCACTCTGTGGGCTCTAGGTTTGAATCCTGGCATGCCACTTAATATCTTGGGCAACTTAACGTCCCCGAGGCTCTGTTCTCTCATCTACAAAACAGGGGGATATAAATAAGTACTCCAGAGAATTGTTGGGAAGATTCAGTGAGGTGCTGCTTGTAAAGTGCATGGATCAGTGCCCAGATGGAGTGCTGTCGTTCCTATTATTATTAAAGGTTCTCTTGAACAGCTCTAAGAAACCACCAAGGCAGGAAGAACCCCATTAATAGAAAGAAGGGACTTTCTGATATTGGGAAAGTAATCACTGCGCATGAATTCCCTTCTAGGACTTTTAAAAACAGAGATGCTGTCTCACCACATTGGCCAGGCTGACCTTGAACTCCTGGCTTCAAGTGATCCTTAAGCCTTGACCTCCCGACATGCTCTGATTTTAAGCCTGAGCCACTGTGCCCATGCCCAGTCAGGACTCTTTTCTTTTCTTTTCTTTTCTTTCTCTCTCTTTCCTTCATTCCTTCTTTGTTTTTCTTTATTGCTTTCTTGCTTTTCCTTTTCCTTTTTTCTCTTTTCTCTTTCCTTTCCCTTCCTTCCCTTCCCTTCCTCCTCTCCCCTCCCCTCCCCCCCTCTCCTTCCTTCCTTTCTTCCTTCCGGGTCTTGCTCTGTTGCCTAGGCTGGAGTGCAGTGGCGAGAGCTCAGCTGACTGCAACTTCCACCTCCCAAGTTCAAGTGATTTTCTTAACTCAGCCTCCTGAGTAGCTAGGATTACAGGGGTGTGCCACCACGCCCAGCTAACTTTTGTATTTTTGGTAGAGATGGAGTTTCACCATGTTGGTCAGGTTGGTCTCGAACTCCTGACCTCAGGTGATCCACCCGCCTTGGCCTCCCAAAATGCTAGGATTGTAGGCGTGAGCCATTGTGCTGGGTCAGGACTCTCTTTTGGATAAAAATGTTTTCTGTGACTCAGCCCTTCTTTCAGTTCCTTGAATGCACCAAACTTCTCACCAGCTGCACCTGCTGTGTCCACCACTGGGGGCACTCTCTTCGCTCTACCGGGCCAACTTCTACTCATTCCTTAGGGCACTTTGTTTTGGTTTTTTTTGTTTGTTTTTGGACTGACTCCCTGTCTCTCCACAACCCTGACTAGGTTGGGTCTCCTCATGTGTCCCCTTCACAGGCCTTGCTACCAAGCGGAGAACTGGCAAGCTGGAAGAATGGTTAAAAAGTAGCAGCTCTGGGATCACGTCTGACCTGGGTTCAAATCCCACAGTCGCCCACCGTGTGTCTCCAGGCAAGCTCACTTCTCCGAACCTCCATCTCCTCACCTGTAAACTGGGGCTGCGCCAGGAGTTCCCAATCCTAGGGTGATTGTGTGGATTAGAATGACACCAATTACCCAAAGAACACTGAACACAGTGCCTGGCATATCGTAAGCATTTGTTGAAGAGTTGTTTGATTTATTTATTTATTTTAATTTTTGAGACAGGGTCTCGTTCTGTTGCCCAGGCTGGAGTGCAGTGATGTGATCTCAGCTCAATATAACCTCTGCCTCTTGGAGTCAAGCAATTCTCGTGCCTCAGCCTCCTAACTGGCTGAGATTACAGTATTTTTAGTAGAGACGAGGTTTCACCATGTTGGCCAGACTGGTCTCGAACTCCTGACCTCAAGTGATCTGCCCACCTCGTCCTCTCAAAGTGCTAGGATTACAGGTGTGAGCCATGGTGCCCAGCCGAGTTGTTTTATTTTTTATCATCATGATGATAATGAATTCGATATTTGTGAGGACAACTCTGTGGGGTCTGTTTTCTCTGGCAGGCTGTGAAGAGGACAAGGACTCTGTTTTGTTCACTGCTGTATTTGTGTTGCCTAGAACAGTGCCTGGCACATAGTAGGTGCTCCATAAACACATGCGGAATCGATAAATAGGCACTGGCCTGCCTGAAGACAGAGGGTGCCCAAGGTTCTCTCTAAGCCTAGGAAACTTATGATTTTTTATTTTTAAGAGATAGGATCTGGCTCTGTTACCCAGGTTGGACTGCAGTGGCATCTTCTTGTTTTTATTTTTAATTAATTATATTTTATTAGCCTTGACTCGAAACTCAAGTGGCGCCTTCTCAGCCCACTGCAGCCTCGAGCTCCTGGGCTCAAGCAATTCTCCCACCTCTGCTTCCTAAGCAACTCAGACCACAGGCATGTGCCACCACGTCTGCCTAATTAAAAAAAAAATTATTTTTTTTTTAGAAGTGGGATCTTGAGATGTTGCCCAGGCTGTTCTCCAATTCCTGGCCTCAAGGGATCCTTCTGTCTTGGCCTCTCAAAGTGTTGTTATTACAGGCCACTGCACCTGGCCAAAAGTTTACGAAGTTTGAATCTTAGTTGCTGCAAAAGGATGAAAGCAAATGGAAAGACAGAGAGGAGGAGAAAGAGAATGAAGGAAGGAAAGAAAGAAAAGAAAGAATAAGGAAGAGAAATGAAAGAAGGAAAAGTAATAAAGAGAGAAAGGAAGGAAGAAAGGGGAGAAAGGAAGAGAAGGAGAGAAAGGAGAAGGAAAGGAAGGAAAGGAAAAGTGGAAGGGAACAAAAGAGAGAAAGAGAACTGCCCGTCTGCTGAGGCCAGCTGTGCGCTCAGGGGCCACCTACTTGAAGGGGCTAGCATTGCAGATGGTGACGGCGGGGAAGTCCATGGTCTTGAAGCCTACGGAGAGGGAGACGCTGACCTCCCAGCTCAAGTAGGTCCTGATGAAGATGCCCCACTGCCAGCAGACGAGAGCAGTGAAGAGCAGGGTGAGCAGGAACCACACGGCTTTCTTCTTGGGCCCCTCGCAGATGATACGCTTGGGGCCGTGGGTGTTGGTGTTATCGCAGTACCACACCAGCAGCTCCTTGTACGTGTAGCCGGGGCCCTTCTGCAGCCGGTGCAGGCACTTCAGCAGGTACTTCTTCACGTGCATGGTGGCACCTGCAGAGAGGCATGGGGACGCACATCAGTTGGGACACCAGCCTTGCCTGCGACGATGTCCCAGTCACGTCCAGGAACTGGTTGGCGGCACATCCCCGTTCTTCCTCCCTCTTTACCTTCCTTCCTCCCTCTCTCCCTTTTTACCTTCTTTTCTTCCTTCCTTTGGCTATCCATCATCAATCCATCCATCTAATCAACCAAAATGCAATTATTGAATGCCTACTATATGCCAGGCACTCAAATGGTCCTTCTGGACTCAATGAGCAAAATGGACAAGGTTTTTGCCCTTCGGGAGTTCATAACCTAGTGAACAAGTGACTTAAACTCTCAACTCAGGTTCTCTGTGCATAAAATGTGGTATAGCAAGTCCTCACACTGCATCGTTTTGTTCAATGCTTCATTGCAAAGTTGATGAAAAAGAAAGTAGATTCCCAGCCAGGGCCACGGTCTATATGGAGTGTACATGTCCTCCCCATGATGTGTCTGCATGGTGCCAGATGAGTGAGTGTGACTGTGTGTGAGTGCTCTGCAATGGAATGTGTCCTGTCTAGGATGGGTTCCCGCCTGAGCTGCAGAGATAGGCTCTGGCCACTATGACCTTGAACTAAGTGGGTAAATAATGATCTTGGTTTTATTAATCTTTCTTTTTCTTTTTTGAGAAAGGGTCTCACACTCTTACCCAGGCTGGAGTGCAGTGGTGCAATCATGGCTCACTGCAATCTCTACCTCTGAGGCTCAAGTGATCCTCCCACCTCAGCCTCCTAAGTAGCTGGGATTACAGGCATGCACCACCATACCGGTGAAGTTTTTTGTTTTTGTTTTTGTTTTTTTTTTTAAAGACAAAGTCTGGCTCTGTCACCAGGCTGGAGTGCAGTGTTGTGATCTCGGCTCACTGCAACCTCTGCCTCCCTGGTTCAAGCGATTCTTCTGCCTCAGCCTCCCGAGTAGCTGGGACTATAGACATGTGTCACCACGCCCAGCTAATTTTTGTATTTTTAGTACACCATGTTGGCCAGGATGGTGTCGATCTCTTGACCTCACGATCTGCCCGCCTCGGCCTCCCAAAGTGCTGGGATTTTGGGCGTGAGCCACTGTGCTGGGCTGAATTTTTGTATTTTTAGTAGAGTCGGGTTTCACAATGTTGCCCAAGCTGGTCTCAAACTCCTGAGCTCAAGTGATCCCCCCACCTCAGCATCCAAAGTGCTGGCATTAAAGGCGTGAACCTCCGCACCCGGTCTTAATCTTTCTTAAATGTATGTATAACTCATATTTATTTCAATGTTTAATATTAGAAGCATTTTGGTCTTTACTTAGAAATTTGGTGACTTTTTTTTTGTGACCAGAAATAGGCCTAGGAGCTTAACTCTTGTTGATATCAATTAGACTATGGTGAAACTGATTTCACTATACATCGTTTCACCTAGAGTTGCAGTTCCCAAGAACATATCAACGATGTTAAGTGAAGACTTACTGTAATAATTACATCTAACTTACAGGATTGCTGAGAAGGTGAAATTCGGGGACGAACAAAAAGTGCTATGTACTGAGCCTAGCACAGACCAAGTCCTCAGTATGCCAGTTTCCATTGTCACTAGCTGTCAGTGGGTAAGACAGATGTTAAGCAAAGAATCCATCAAAAATACAGAGCTATGAAACATGACAGGAAAGACTGGGACCCCATGCCCTGAGATGCTAGAGGCATTAAAGGGTGGTGGTTTAGAATAAGGATTCTGTAACCAAATTTTCTGGCCTTTTGTTTGTTTGTTTGAGACAGGGTCTCACTCTATTACCCAGGCTGGAGTGCAGCGGCATGATCATGGCTCACTGCAACCTCGAACTCCTGGCAAATGTCTGGCTTTGACTCTCAGCACTGCTGCTTTCTAGCTGTGTGACTTTGAGCAAATCTCCTTCTCAGTCTTTCAGTTTCCTCATCCATAAAATGGGGATAATCACAGCTTCCGCCTGCATGGAGTCATGGAGGTGTCATGGAGGCTGGCTGCATGGAAATATGGAGAGGGTGGATTCATGTCTGACATTCAAGTGTCAGCGATTTTTATTAGAAAATGGATGCCTGACCAGGTCTGAGAGTCCTTGGAGAAAGAAAGAAAAAAGGAAAAAAAAGGTGTTCTGTGGATATGAATTAGAATGGGGTGAGGCTGTGTCCAGAGCATTGAGGTTGGAGGGTATGGGTCATGAGGAGGAATGCCAGAGCTTTCTGAGACTCTGTTTCCCATAGGCATGAGGGGGTAGGATTCTTGTGAAGACCACCAGGTACTTGTTACAGCACATGGGGTATCTAAGGACATTCCTGCTTCCCCCTCCCTTCTCTCTGGACACAGAGCAGGAATCTGCAGCAGGAGCATCCCAGCTGTATTCCTGGAGCCCCAGTTGTATTTGATCTTCAAGGTCCAGACCAAAGGCCACCTCCTCCATGAAGCTCTCCTGATTCCAGGCTGGACCCTCGCTCTGTTCTGAGAGCCTTTTCCTTCTGGGGGCACCATGGTTCCTATGTGCCCAGCATCCTCTTCCCTTTGCTCTGATGTTTCAGGTGAAGGTATCTCGCTGTCCCCTTCATCTCATTTGGTGTGAGTTGCCAGGCTGATCTCTCCTCTTAGCTCTGGGAGATGTGCATATGACCCAGACTGGAACATTAGGACTCAATTCTATCAGTTTAAATTGGAATAACTAATGAAGAGACCTCACTTTTAACTAAGCCTACTAAGCTGAGATGGAGAGAAATTTCTGACATCACCATTTGAACACTTGGATCCAGCCATGCCTGAAGCCATTCATTCCTGGCCTCATCAGATATGGGAACCAACATATTTTCTTTCTTATTTATGCATATTCAAATTGGATGCCTGACATTTGCACCTATAAGAAGCTTCACAGTAAAATAAATTGACCCTCGTTTTATCCTGTGTTCTAGTTTCTTGTGCCTGTGGCTTCTCCCAGGAGATCGAAAGTCCCCTGAGGGTAGCAGCTCTATATCCCTGACAAGGCCCAGCACAGTGCCCGGCACTCCACCGAATATCCAGATGTAGGTCAGACCTTTACATCTAAATAGAGATGTTAAATCTGCCCAAGCATGCTCACTCCTGATCCAATTATCTGACACAGTAACATCTCTCACCTTCCTTCCCCAAAAGGGGTCTTGGCCAAAGCATGAAGTGCTTTCTTCTCCAACTCTTTTTTTTTTTTTTCTCTCTCTCTCTCCCCCCTCCCTCTCCTCTCTGAACAGGCTCTTGGTGTCACCCAGGCTGAAATGCAGTGGCATGATCTTGACTCCCTGCAACCTCCACCTCCTGGGCTCAGGTGATCCTCCCACCTTAGCCACCTGAATAGCTGAGACTACAAGCGCATGGCACCATGCCCAGCTAATTTTTGCATTTTCAGTAGAGACAAGGTTTCGCCATGTTGCCCAGACTGGTCTCGAACTCCTGGGCTCAAACGATCCACCCGCCTCGGCTTCCCAAACTGCTTAGATTACAGGTTCATGTGAGCTACTGTGCCCCACCTCCAATTATATTCTGATAGGAATCAAACTCTATGTGCCTGCGCAGGCCATCATGGCTTTAAGAGGATGTTCATAGACTAACCCCACTCCTAACTTTCCCCAGAAGGTCTATGCCCTGCTCTGAAATAATAAAGTAGTAATAGTTATTATAACAACAACTACAAGAGCAACATCAAAGTACTAAATGTTTGCCATGACCCAGGCATGTGTAAAGAACCAAGGCTTCGTCTGCCTCGTATAGTTTAACACCCTAAAGCCACATAGGTGAACATCACATTAGGTTCCGATAGATAGTCGTAGAAGAAATAAGGGCCTCTAGAACGTTTACCTTTTTCTATTCTCATGGAATTATTCTGATTTAGTCAAGGAGAAAGTCTTGGGTCCAGAATTGGTGGGTTCTTGGTCTCGCTGACTTCAAGAACGAAGACAGTCGCGGTAAGTATTACAGCTCTTAAAGTTGGTGTGTTCGGAGTTTGTTCCTTCAGATGTTCAGATGTGTCCGCAGTTTCTTCTTTCTGGTGGGTTTGTGGTCTCACTGACTTCAGGGGTGAAGCTGCAAACTTTCGTGGTGAGTGTTACGGCTCATAAAGTCTGGGTGTTAATCCGAAGAGTAAACAGTGGCAAGATTTTGTGGCAAAGAGTGAAAACACAACATATGTGGAAAGTAATCCCAGCGGGTTGCCTCTGTCTGGCTCTCCACCGCTTTATTCCCTTATCTGACCCCACCCACATCCGGCTGATTGGTCCACTTTACAGAGAACTGATTGGTCTATTTTACAGAGAGCTGATTGGTCCATTTTACAGAGAACTGATTGGTCCATTTTGAAAGGGTGCTGATTGGTGTGTTTACAATCCCTGAGCTAGACTCGGAGTGCTGATTGGTGCATTTACAATCCTTTAGCTAGACATAGAGTTCTAGATAGAAGAGTTCTCCAAGTCCCCACTAGATTAGCTAGATACAGAGTATTGATTGGTGTATTTACAAACCTTGAGCTAGACACAGGGTGCTGATTGGTGTATTTACAATCCCTTAGCTAGACTTAAAGGTTCTCCAAGTCCCCACTAGACCCAGGAGCCCAGCTGGCTTCACCTAGTGGATCCCACAAAAGGGCCACAAGTGGAGCTGTCTGCCAGTCCAGTGCCATCCGTCTGCACTCCTCAGCCCTTGGATGGTTGAGCAGGCGCCATGGAGCAGGGGGCCGTGCTCATCGGGGAAGCTCGGGCCGCACAGCAGCCCATGGCACGGGGGAGAGGCTCAGGCATGTCAGGCTGCGGGTCCCGAGCCCTGTCCCATGGGGAGGCAGCTGAGGCCAGGTGAGAATTTGAGCGTAGCGCCCGTGGGCCAGCACTGCTGGGGGACCCAGCGCACCCTCTGCAGCTGCTGGCCTGGGTGCTAAGCCCCTCACCGGCTGGCTACTCCGAGTGAGGGGCCCACCAAGCCCACGCCTACCCGGAACTCGCACTGGCGTCCACAGGCACCTCT